ACACACACACACACACACACACACACACACACACAAGTTTGGTGTGAGAAAAGTCGACCACTTATCTCTCTGAGGGGTATCGCTAACTCTGGGCGATGTGGTGAGTACTTATCCATCAGTCAAATGCATCCTGGGCAGACTGTCAGGGTTCAACCTCCTGCTGAGTCGGAAAAAGTCCGACGAAACAGTCTGGCACAGTCATGCTTTTTTTGAGTGTATACACTGTATAGCGAATATGACAACACACACACAGAGTCAAGAAAGGGATGTGACGGATCACACACACACACGCGCGCGCGCGCGTGCGCGCAGGCCGTGAAGGCACACGGGGATGTGGGCAGCTGCCGCTCAACCACAATCAACATGGGCAGCCTTGTACGTAAGAGGCACAGAAAAAGGGGAGCTGCAAGAACAATGGAAGCGGTACCCCAACGACAACCAAAAAACTGTCTAATTATAAAATTGCTTTAATATGTTGGACAGTGACTGTCTCATCTCAAATGCTCTCGTTGTCTGCAATAGCACAAAGACCGCTTTGCTTCTGGATCTATTCATCTGGGTGGAATTGGGGCTGTTGTGGGAAAAATCTATAACACACACACACACACCCTGACATGTCATGTCTAATTTGTAGACAGGGGCTTGAACAGCAATGCCTCTACAATTGCAGCCGGCGTGCCTGTGTTCCTTGCCTGTGGGAGCCATGTTGCCTGCGATATCTGTCTACATCGTGCCATTCGGTGCAGCAATTGCAACTGCGAGAATTGGATGCGATGCTTCCACAGTCCGCACCCGAATCGGTGCTGTCCGGTCTGCAGGAGTGGTCACCTACCATAGGCAACAGCTACCATAAGCAACAGCTACCCCTCATCCTGCAACCCCAACACTGATTGATGCCTCGTGTCATTCTACGGTCGTCTGCTCCACCGGTTTGTATAGAGAATCTATTGAAAACACTCTCTCTCTCTCTCTCTCTCTCTCTCTCTCTCTCTCTCTCTCTCTCTCTCTCTCTCTCTCTCTCTCACTCTCTCTCTCTCTCTTTCTTTTATCTTGTCCTCCTCCTTGTTTTCTACTCCTTCTCCTTGAGGCTTGTGTACTATTAGTAAACGCATATGAATGAGCGTCATTGAGAGAACAGACAAAATATAATTACCCTTTTACTCTGCGTCTTTTCATAACGTGCAAGTGGGCCGCAAAGGCACACGGGGATGTGGGCAGCTGGCACTCAACCATCATCATTGTGGCCAGCCTTGTACGTGATAGGCACAGTAAGAAGGTAACTACAAAAACAAAGAAAATGGGAGGCCTCCCAATGCTAGCTGATGAAAATGTAATCAAGAAAATGATATAACAAATTTATTGTGTCTCGAATTGTTTATACTGCTGGGTTGGCCTATCTCAAGTGTGTTGCATTTCTTGTGTAAAGGTGAGATTCCTTGCTTGTTTAAAGGTAAGGTTCTCAATAGATATTGACTTCACAAGCAAAACTGTTTCATTGGTGGATTGGCTCATCTTGAGAATGCTTCATTGTCTGCAATACAGGAAAAGTTGCTATGACTTAGGATCTACTCATCTGGGTAGAATAGGGGAAGTTGTGGTGATATTTTATAACACACATTCCGGTCTTGCTAACTCTCTGCTCTTGTAGATTGAGCGGCTAGGATTGGACATGTACTACCAGGTCACACTTATGGTATGGTGGATGAGCTTTGTAAAGGCTTCTGATTATGACATAACGTTTTGGCTCACCTGATGTAATTGGCCCAAATTAATGCAAGGGCTTCTCCCCTTATGGCGGATTGAACATGTGCTGACATGTGCTTCCATGTCGTTACTGCTTCCGCCCAGAAATATGAGCTTGTTGTCTTTTCCGTATGAAGCTGTGATTTCAATATGCTATGGATGGAAAATGATCTGGTTGTAACTAACTGTTGTTTTGGTTGTCTATATGACCGATCTTTGGTTTCTGTTTTAGGAGCCCATGTCCTGTGGTGGCGGTCACCGCAAGGATGTGGTTTCTTGCCCTTTCCTTCCGCGCAGTGAGTATAGTTAGCTCCCCACCCAAGGTGTGCCAGACTCAGGTGCGGAGTACTCCTACTCAGCTCACCCTTGCAGGATGCCCTCCTTAACATAAACCTCGTACACAGTAGTTTTTGATGATGGTCGGACACCTCCTGCATAACAGACTAGCTGGTCCTGCTGTGCCCGGCGTCTAGGGCAGTTGCCCAGAGCACTCACAGGTGGAGGCATTCTGAGCACCAGCCGAGTCATCATTTCGAAAACTCTGTGGCGAGAGCCTTCCTGCCGAGGACGTCGGCAGCCTTCCCCGCGCTGAGCTGACGGGCCTAAAACCCTGGACCATGGTGTTCCCTTCTATTACATTCACCACTCCTGTTCATCTCTTATGTAACCTGCGCCTTTCCTGGAAAAGATACTTCATGATTTTCAAAAATGTCACTAATATGTCAATGACACAGCGAGAGAATCAGGGAAGGGATTCAAACGGGGATATCCGTGCCGGTGGCGTGGCACAAACCACACCTCCTCTTTGCGATCCCCTTTATGGTAACCTCCCTCTCTCCTTCACTAATCATCGCTATGGACGGCATATTAAAAGAATTGATTGGGTTGCACATCATGACCGGAACACAAGGCTCTATGATGCAGGATATTGGTTTAAAAAGCGGCTCCGATACCTGGCAGCGGCAGCCCGTGCGGAACAATTTGAACTGCAATTACGAGGCATTGATCGGAGGCCCATTCAACCAGGAAGGGATGCTCTTTCAGCTCTTGGCGTTATTTATGCTATTATCCACATACCTTCTGGCCACACATACGTTGGGCAAACCACTTTTATTTTCTCACTACCATTTGCAACAGCATTGGCACTCCCGACATGAATCCCAAACCACACACTCGCGGCATCGCCATCTCTATCATTCCATGGTCAGACAGCGACCTTTTCATTTTGTTGTCTGGCCTTTTGAGTGTATAGACCCCCATCTCTATCTAAATGCTGATGGCTCCTTCAATCTGGATTTGTTCAAACGTGCGGGGACACTTCGTGAAGGGTTTTGGGTCCGTCGCCTGCCCACGCTGCACCCTCAGGACTTCAATAGTGTCCTTCCACAAGGACATTTACCACCTGTCAGGCGACTTCATCGTTCAAACAGATGGACTCGTTCACGAGGCAGTCCAAACCCTCCTTCCTCCAGTCGCCCCTCAAGACAAACACACGGCGATAAACCTGTCATTATCGACACTAACCCTAGTTTGTTTCATGCTGTGCGCTCGGTCTTGCATCGCATGCTGGCACAAGCAGCCAATTCAGAATGGCAATCCATATCTCATACCCTTTCCCAAGCCATCCCTACTTGGCGTGCTCGCCTGTTACAATGGCTGCAGATAAATGTCTCGAACTCTGATCTCACACCGGACATTCGACAATTGGAATGCATGATCCGTGGTTTGCTTTATTCACACCGACCGTATTCAAGCCCTGTGCGTGATTAAATTTCATTCTCAAATTTCATTAAGATTGTGCACATGCATCAAGTTGCTCAAACTTCACAACCACGGGATGTTCTTCGGTTATCAGAGGTCGCAAAATTACATTCGCGGCCTGCTCTGGCCAAAGAAATGCGTATCTGCGACAAGATGGTCCCGCCCATTCGTGTCTAGTTCTGTAACTTTACAGAAGTGGCACTCAGCATAACACCCAATATGCCGCCTTCAAACGCTAGTGATTGTCCTTGTCGACGAGTGTTTCCGTACTGTACAGACACTGTTGACGGTCATGTAGCCACAGTGGACTGCTTTATTATACAAGACACGCATCTGCGGGGCCTCTTCATTGAAGGCTCCAAGTACCGCCTCAATGCCGACATCGTAGATGTGATAAAAGCACTGGAACTTGGTCTGAACGAGTATATTGCTAAGTTCATAGCAACCATGAGATCGACACGTAACAATAACCCAATGATTGTCGACAATCTTGCTCAGCTATGCAAATGGTGCACAACAATCATTTCAAGATGCCAATGGAATCTGTCCAGAGCCTCGTACCAAGTACCTACTCAGGCTGCCTCACGAGTCGCCAATATATCTTTGAAGCAGTTACATCAGCGCTTCGTCATCGTACCTGTTGATAAAACATCACACAATTTAGCAATTTGTCGCAAACGCTGGTACGCATGTAAGTTATCACAACATCTTGACAATCCCACCATGAGCAAGCATCGGAGTCCCACGAGCGGTCTATGGGTAGCTGAAAATTTAGAAATGAAAATTATGAAGTGAGAGTTTAGGCAGTCTGAAAATCCTGAATGGTCCTGAAGTGGTGAAGGATCCGAAGATCCAGAAAACCACCCGTTTAGGCACGATGAATCTTGAAGTGGTGAAGGGTCTTCTGAAGTGGTGATGAAAAATACAACCCTCTCTCTGGAGGCCGTGGCCAGCATCTTCGATCGGCACGAGCTTTTCGATGATCACTGGGCTATCGACATATTGATACACTACCTTACCTCTATTATGCACTCAAAGCACATAAATCCTCACCCGCTCTCCGTCCAATTATTGGAGTTACACAACAAAACAATATTTCCCAATCTGCCCTTTGTTCAACATCCCGTCGACCCTTTGTTTGAGACCTGCATAATAGGCCCCATCTCAAGCTCTTTGCAAGTACAACAATGCCCTCTCGCTCACCTAGCTATGCCCTTCAAAGTGTGATCAAATATTTGCACAACAAGGACAATGAGCTTTATCGAGAAAGTGGTGTGCGACGTTGTTGGATCATACAGAGTGTTGACGAAGTTATTTAGGATCTTAAGAAGAATGCACAGTCCCTTCGAGGTTTTTATGCCACACACAATGGACTTTACAGCAATGTACACGAACCTGCCACACGACTGAATACTTAATAATATCCTGAATGTTGTTCGTGAAGCACATGACTATGCTTTGACGTTGATCCCACAGGGCGGAAGACCAATAGAAATGTACATGACTGTAGGAGGGCCTCGTCGCGGGGAATTGGTTACTTCACATAGCACAGAAACTCTTTCAGTACAACAAATTGAACAACATCTGCGGTTTGTAGTCTCAAATACTTATCTGTATACAATGGATAGCACTTCCCGTCATCAAGTGGTCGGTATCCCTATGACCTGCGTGTGGCACAAGCATATGCATTTACATATCGGTTCATCTCTGACATTCTGTCCTAGCAAACATCCCCACCCCCTTTGAGTGGAAAGACACTACTGAGCAAGATGGCTCGTGTCTTTTCCTTGGGGCAAGAATCCAAGTGCGGTCAGATGGCTCACTTCGCTTAGGTGTATTTGATAAGGTCGAGGCTTGGACATTCCCTGTCATATGTTATCCCAGTGCATCCTCGAATGCCCCAGCTCGTCAGCCTGCAGGGGTACTTACAAGATAACTAACGAGGTTCGAACATATTTTTCATTATACTACGGACTTCAAAGTGACAGTGACTTCCTTGACGCGATGTATGCTTTTAAGGGGTCATCCTCCTAGTGTCCTGGCCAAAGGCTGAACGACATATGTGTGTGGCCGGCAGCGCCGGCTACCCACTCATGTCACACGGCTCTCGAATTGGTTTCGTCGTATGGTGCGCTGGGCCATTGCTCACCCACCGTCGAATGCACACTCAGCATACAGGGCCTCCTCCCGACCACATGCAGCAGACCATCACCCACTCTCAAACACCAATTATGATTGTAGGCAACATCAGCCCTCCACACATCATGACACAATGGGTCTACCCCCTCCTGTTACTCCTGCTAAACTAACAAACGCCAATGTAGATACGCCAACCCAGCTAGAGAATGGTCCAACAATTACGAGTAATGTATACGCTGCTGAGGTTGTTGTATGCGATGAAGGCCAGCATCCTACAAATGCGGCTATTGCTGCCGAAATGGTGCCTCCCTCATCATTGTTGCCATCACCACCACCATCACCACCTCCTCCTCCAGCACCACCATCACCACTACCACCTCCTCCCCCACCACATTCGCCACCACCACCGGCATCCCCACCAGCGGCATCCCCACCACCATTGTCACCGGCATCCCTGCCACCATCATCATCCCCGCTGACATCTTCTTCTACATCATCCCCCCAGTCATCTAACCCCTCCTCTACTGCTGCTTCTTCGTCCTCTTCTTCTGCTTCTTCTTTCTCCTCTTCCTTCTCTTCCTCCTCTTCTCTACCCTCTTCGTCATCTTCCCCCTCCTCCTCTACCTTGCCTAATTCATCATCTTCGTTATCAACATATTCCTGGTCAGATCAGCCGTCGCGGTGACCCTTTCGTCCAAGGCATCTACCGATAAATCGGTCGTTGCAGACACCTCGTCGGCGGAGGTGTTCCCGTCTCCACCACCGTCTCCAAGAGAACAGCCTCGTTTGTCCATGGATAGTATAAACACTGCCCCCCCTGCAGAGGTTCGAAATCTGCTCCGATGCCATGCCCGCAACCGTACAGAACGACGACGTCGCGCTTAATACACACTACCCCAGAATAGTGCATGTCAAGTTCGATGCCAACAATGTGGCGACAATTTCTTCCGCATTACGGGTCTGTGTGTGCATCAGACACGGGGTGCGACCGCCTATGCAGCCTTTGCACGATTGGCAACCACCTTAAATACAAGTGCAGTTGATAAGCCTCCATTACCTGCATCTGAACCGCCCATATCTCACCCACCCATTTCTCCCCCGCCCGACCCCGCATGTTCCCCGACCCCGATGGTCAATGACCTGCCTTCTTATCATTTGATGGAGCCCCTAACAGAAGATGACCTCTCTCCGGAGCGTGTACTAGAGCCAATGCAGTTTCCACAAAGTGGAGGAACCCTGATAGAAACAATCAAGACCACATTGAATCTCCGCCTGCCGTGCATCCACAGAACTGAATGAACTGCCCCCTACCGCACAACCAGCAGAATCATGTGATCTCATGGTGCTGCAGCAAGGCTATTGTGCGTACTATGCGGTCAATGTATGTATCCTCGCATACAACTGTAACCTTTACACAATTTCTGATTTTGTTGATATTGTCCAGTAGATACAAGAAGAGCACCATGTTGTCTGCCCAGAGGATGATAGTACTGGTTCTGGAGTCAACACAAAAGTCTTGTTTATGACATTTATGGGTAGAAGACTACAACTACAGCTTGCTCCCCAGAACCACATGCCAGACATGAACGCAAATATTCGTGCGTACATCCTGTATCGGTCACGACATTTCAACAATGTGACCTATGCAAAGTTGCAAACAATTCATGGGCCTTATGGGACAAGGGAGGTAGGGTGCACACGATAACTAGCATTAACTCCTATAACCAAGTAGCAAATACTCACTCAATTTGGATTGTCCTTCAGGAACAATATGTTACTTCGCACCCTCAAGCGCTTCAGTCTCTGGAGAGCAATCTGGATCGGGCAGATTCTGCTCTAGACAATGAAAGAACCTCCTTAGAACATGTTGGTTGTGACCTTCCATTCTGTGGCCACACAACCACAATTCGGTTAGCATGTACAGTGCATAGTCTCTGCTCCGAACACTATGAAGGGACGGTCACTGCCAGCCTCTATCGCAAAAACTGCGACTCTTTGTCTTGTGTTCATCCTTCCCAACCCCTAATCGTCTGCCCAATATGTCGTCGTGCCCTTAATCTGCTATGCTTAAATAGCTGCAAACGTCAACCTGCCTTCGTGCTGACATGTCAGCAACATGCCATGTGTCATCAATATTTCCAGGAAGCTGTCATAGAAAGCATGTGCCTCTACTGCGTGAACTATCCACGATGCCATCATCCACCGCATCCTCTCATAGCATGCCACACATTAGGCATGCAGTTACTACAAACGCCATCAGATCTCCTTCTTTCTTGCCCAACGAACAACAAACTCAACAGCCTGAGTAGGAAAATAGAGAACCACATGAGCCGCATATAGAGCACTTTGTTGAAGGTCTAACACCACCACCACGAACTGTTGCAAAACAAATTTTGCAGCAGCTAGACACCCTTGTTTAGGATGACCCCCTTTTGCCACAGTCGTCGTCATCGGTCCATAGACAAGGAATCAATGCAGAGGAAACTCAAAACACTTGCGCAATGCCGTTATGTGATGATCCAGTTGAGATTTGGCTAGCATATGGGCTGCATGCATTGTGTCATGAGGATTATGAAGGCACAGTCTGTGCATCTTTCTGTTTTCATACGTTTGATGACAATCAATATGGCACTTACGTCCGACACCCTGACATGTCATGTCCAATTTCTAGACAAGGGCTCGAACGGCAATGCCTCTACAATTGCGGTCTGCGTGCCTCTTTGTTCCTTGCCTGTGGGAACCATGTTGTCTGCAATATATGTCTACATCATGTCATTCGGTGCAGCAATTGCAAATTTCATAGTCCGCATCCGAATTGGTGGTGTCCGGTCTGCAGAAGTGGTCACACTGATTGACGTCTCGTATTATTCTATAGTCGTCTGCTCCAACGGTTTGTATAGAGAATCTATTGAAAACACACTCTCTCTCTCTCTCTCTCTCTCTCTCTCTCTCTCTCTCTCTCTCTCTCTATATATATATATATATATATATATATATATATATATATATATATATATATATATATATATATATATATCGTCAAATAGAACTGCCCGGTAAACCGTAGGCAGAGAGGGAGAAGAGGACAACAAACGAGGGGCTGTATATGTATATATATATATATATATTTTGTCCTCCTCCCTGTTGTCTACTCCCTCTCCTTGTATACTATTAGTAAACGCATATAAATGAGTGTCATTGAGAGAACAGACAAAAAAGTGGGCCATAAAGGCACACGGGGGCAGTTGGCGCTCAACCATCATCAACGTGGCCAGCCTTGTACGTGTTACACACAGTAAGAAGGTAACTACAAAAACGAAGAAAATGGGAGGCCTCCCAATGCTAGCTGATGAAAATGTAATCAAGAAAACAATATAACAAATTTATTGTGTCTTGTATTGTGTATACTGTTGGGTTGGTCCATCTTAAGCGTGTTGCATTGCTTGTGTAAAGGTGAGATTCCTTGCTTGTTTAAAGGTAAGGTTCTGAATAAATATTCACTTCACGTTCACGGACAGCTCAATCTGCTTGATGCAGAAAAAGAGTTGCAGGCCATTGTCACTCCCGTTCAGATGATGGAAACAGGCAAGAGAGTGGAGGAACTCATGAAGTAAGGCCCCTTGACCGGTATGTCACCGAGGGATTTGACAAGTTGGAACAGGAAAGGAAGAAGAGAAAAAAGGAAAAAACAAAAAAAGTAGAACCGCAACTGTCTATTGAAATAATGGAGGAGAATGTCAGACAATTAGAAAATACATTGAGAGAAGAAAGAAGAAAGATTGAAAAGTTCTGGAGACAACAAGAAGAGCAAGAAGAAAAAAAAAAAATTATGGATGAATTGAGGTAAACATTTCATTATGAGGAAGCAGGCAGCGAGCTTGTATCTATCCTTCAGTCTATCATGATCTACCTTGTGTCTCTTGAGAAGAAGATTGACCGCAACACTGCCTCATTAGAGACAGTGACCAGACTCCTAAAACGGAAAGACAAGGTAGGAACTGAGGAGGAGAGGTAGTCAAGAAAGAACCCAAAGAGAAATTAATGAAGGATGCAATGAAGCGAGTTACGCCAGAAAAACCCGAAGGTTCTAAGAAAGAATCTGAGAGACCGGCTAAGAAGAAAGAAGAACCTACCAAGAAAGAAGAACCGGTCAAGGAGGCCGAAAAACCGAAGAAGAAAGAAAAAGGTTAAGATGAAACTGCCATTTACATATAACAACAAGAAGGATGAAAACTTGTTGTTATGGATTGCCGAAATCTAGACTTATTGTAGCACCGCACCTGTTGAGCCTGAAAGTCAGGTTGCTTTCTCCACATCTTGTCTCGGGGGAGTGACCAAGGAATGAGTACTGGTTGAAGCCAATGCCGCTGACTTTTAAGGCATTGGTGAGCAGGCGAAGACCCTGAACCTCAAGCAATTTCTCCAAAAGATAAAGGAGAGTTTTCTTGATAAAACAGCGGCCGATAAGGCCTTCGACGAACTCACCACAATCGGGCAAAAGCGTTTGTCTTCGGTTGATGCACTGTCTCGTGAGGTTGATCGTCTTTTGCAGGTACCTGGATTGAACCTGCAAGATAACCAAGTATTGTACATCTACTCACGTGCCTTGCCCGAGCCCATTCGTGGATAGCTCGTAGCAGAAGCCAAGTCTGGAAAGTATAACTATCGACGCTCTCCAGAGGGAGCAGATGACCGCTCAGGTGAAAGGTATGCACGCTTCGGTAGTGAAGACAGGACCGGTTGGTGGATATAGCAAGCGGGTCCTTTGACGACAAAAGTGTCAGGACCACATGCTTGTGGTCGTTGATAATGATACGGTAGAGAAGTTGCCCCTTGACGAGTCTGAGGGAGGAGGAGGCAACGGCGGCAGTGAATCTGGGAAGGGTGATGTCACTGTCGTAATGACCAACAAGGGAGGCCAAAGTCAATGGAAGAAGAAGAGGCGGCCACGCTCGTTTCCCGAGCATCCCGACATTGCATTTGGGAAACCTTGGGAGAAGATGAACATAACGCGTGAAGGAATGGTAGTCCAAGATGGACAATTGTCAATGCCTCAAGTGTGGCGTCGTAGGACATGTTATAGTCTGGTGTCCACTTATCAGAAACCCAAAAGCGAACAGTCAGTAGAAGTAGCATCTGGTCCTACTGAGTCGAAGGGTTTAGACTAAGACAAAGGTAAGGCGCCTATAACCCCTTTTACCCCTTCGACTCTTAAGGCGGAGGATGACTCTTCTTCCGCCCGTCGTCCAAAGCACCCTGACACTGTTCTTTGCTCTGTCTCACTGGATAATTCCCTTGACGAGCTCGTCAATGAACTCATAGCACTACGGAGTGTCTCTCAATACGTCGATCGTGTCAAGTGTTATTTCAGGACAAAGGAAGAAAAAAAAATCTTACACAAAGTATCCTTCTTAATAGAGAAAAATTTACCCTTTGACATGATTCTGGGTATGGATTGGCATGAAGAAGTCAACCCAGAAGTTAAGTTCAACGATAAGATTGTCAAACTCAAGGACAAAAAGTATGAAACCCGAGCGATAAAGTTATATCATCGGGTTGACTCTGACTCTACTCTATCTTTTTGTTGTATGAGTTATCCAACCTTTGTTTGATGGTAGTAAAGAAGAAGTTGGATCAGAAGGTGATGATGGTGTTTGTCAAGCGAGTCAGTGAGTGTTCCTCATCATATCCACCTTCTATCGAAAAACTTCTCGATGAGTACAAGGACTTGCAGATTGAGCCAACGAGAATCATTGAGAGTGCTATTAAACACATGATCGAAATAATTCACAGAAACAAGATTCCCAAGGGTCCCATCTACCGAATATCTCCTAGGGAACTTGAGGAATTGCATAAGCAGTTGCAAGAACTTACCGACAAAGGATGGATTCGCTCTAGCTCATCTCCTTATGGTGCGCCTGTCTTATTCGTACCCAAAAAGGAAGGTGAACTTCGTCTATGTATAGATTATCGTGGGCTGAATTCCATCACTGTCAAAAACGTGGAGCCTCTTCCACGCATTTGACGACCTATTGGATCAGTTGCATGGATGCTGGTACTTTAGCAAGATTGATGTCAAGTCAGGGTACCACCAGATCG